CACTGTAAATGGGATTGCAAGTGGTGCTGGTGGAGGAGTTGCCGATGGAGTTTTGGAGGAAGTCTCGCACGAAATGCGTTTTTGAGAGATAGCAGATGCACGAGACCCTATGTTTTTCCATACAAAGTCCGTCCCCGAACCTCGATGATCTACCTCTGCGGTGCGACGGTTGCGAGACGGTCTCGTGTGTGGTCGGATCGGTCTCGGATCATGGTCGGATCGGTCTCGGATCATGGTCGGATCATTCTCGGATCGGTTCCGCATTGTAAATGGGGTGTCACCTGTGTTTCGTGCATTTGTGGTCGACAGAATTCCATTGTGATTTGCAACTGTAGGATCGTTCCCGCAATGTAAATGGGATTGCAAGTGGTGCTGGTGGATGAGTTTCCGATGGAATTCCATTGTGATTTGCAACTCTAGGATCGTTCCCTCACTGTAAATGGGATTGCAAGTGGTGCTGGTGGAGGAGTTGCCGATGGAGTTTTGGAGGAAGTCTCGCACGAAATGCGTTTTTGAGAGATAGCAGATGCCCGAAACCCTATGTTTTTCCATACAAAGTCCGTCCCCGAACCTCGATGATCTACCTCTGCGGTGCGACGGTTGCGAGACAGTCTCGTTGTTTTGGTTCGGATCGGTCTCGATCATGTCGACATTTCTCGATCGGTTCCGCATTGTAAATGGGGTGTCAGCCTGTGTTCTCGCGTGGGTCATTTGTGGTCCGACAGAATTCCCATTGTGATTTGCAACTTGTATGATCGTTCCGCAATGTAAAATGAATGGGATTGCAAGTGGTTGCTGGTGGATGAGTTGCCGATGGAATTTCCATTGTGGTTTGCAACTGTAGGATCGTTCCCGCATTGTAAACGGGATTGCAAGTGGTGCTGGTGGATGAGTTGCCGATGGAGTTTTGGAGGAAGTCTCGCACAAATGCGTTTTTGAGAGATAGCAGATGCACGAAACCCTATGTTTTTCCATACAAAGTCCGTCCCCGAACGTCGATGATCTACCTCTGCGGTGCGACGGGTGCGAGACGGTCTCGTGTGTGGTCGGATCATGGTCGGATCATGGTCGGATCATTCTCGGATCGGTTCCGCATTGTAAATGGGGTTTCAAGTGTTTTTCGTGCATGTGCAGTCGACAGAATTCCATTGTGATTTGCAACTGTAGGATCGTTCCCGCAATGTAAATGGGATTGCAAGTGGTGCTGGTGGATGAGTTGCCGATGGAATTCCATTGTGCTTTGCAACTGTAGGATCGTTCCCGCAGTGTAAATGGTTGCGTCAAGGTTGCTTCGTGCCGTGGCTGCATTGGTAATACTATTGTCTTTTGCAGCTGGACTTCGTAAATCGTATTGGAGTGGCTGCATGAAGGCTGCCACAGTGATTTGTCAGCAGATTTTCTTCATTTTGGCGCTAGTGACTTTCCTTCTAAAAATCCTTTTAAAAAGTGCTTCAAAATTGTTTTTTTTTCGCTCTGGCGTCGAGATCCGGTTTTGGAGCTACAATTTCCGACGCCGTTGTGCGTAGTTCTAGTGTGTTTTGCAACTCAGTCTCCGCAGATCGCATTGTAATGGCTGTGTCAAGGTTGCTTCATGCTGTGGCTGCATGCGTAATACTATTGTCTTTTGCAGCTGGACTTCGTAAATCGTATTGGAGTGGCTGCATGAAGGCTGCGACAGTGATTTGTCAGCAGATTTTCTCCATTTTGGCGCTAGTGATTTTCCTTCTAAAAATCCTTTTAAAAAGTGCTTCAAAATCGTCTTTTTTTCGCTCAGGCGTCGAGATCCGGTTTTTGAGCTACAATTTCCGATGCCATTGCGCGTAGTTCTCTTGTGTTTTGCAACTTAGTCTCCGCAGATCGCATTGGAATGGCTGCGTCAAGGTTGCTTCTTGCTTTGGCTGCATGTGTAATGTCTTTTGCAGCTGGATCTCGTACATCGTCTTGGAGTGGCTGCATGAAGGTTACGAAATGGATTTGTTTGCAGATTTGCTCCATTTTGGCGCTAGTGTTTTTTTGGTTGCGCGTAGGTTTAGAGCAGTGTGAAGTGTGCGGCGTGAAGAGTGCAGTGTGAAGTGTGAAGTGTGAAGGAAGCAGTGGGAAGTGAGAAGTGTGAAGTGTGGAGTGTGAAGTGTGGAGTGTGAAGTTTAAGTTTGGAGTGCGAAGCGCGCAGTGTGAAGTGTGAAGTGTGAGGTTTGGAGTGTGAAGGAAGCAGTGGGAAGTGAGAAGTGAGAAGTGTGAAGTGTGGACTGTGAAGTGCGAAGTGTGAAGTGTGAAGTGTGGAGTGTGAAGTTTCAAGTTTGGAGTGCGAAGAGTGCAGTGTGAAGTGTGAAGTGTGAAGTGCGGAGTGTGAAGTTTGAAGTTTGGAGTGCAAAGAGTGCAGTGTGAAGTGTGGAGTGTGAAGTTTGAAGTTTGGAGTGCGAAGAGTGCAGTGTGAAGCGTGGAGTGTGGAGTGTGAAGACTTTGCTTCGTCTCTCGCTGAAAAAACCAAACGTCGAGGGAAGGACACGGTCGGGACAGGGTGTCTTTGAACTATAGGTCATTTATTTTTGGGAAACTTCCGCCGCCGGCTTGCCCGGGTCTATGTTATATTTATAAATATACCTCATGATTTCTATCATATATAATTCAATGTATCTATAATAAAATACATATCGAAACAACACAAAATAATAAAATATGAATTTACAATAATATATACGAATCTTCAAAGCAAATTTTGCGTTCTATCTCCACAGGAAATATTGTTTATATTTCCAGCTTAACTACAATTTTCCTATGTAAGACACGTGGCAACATACAGCACTGTTCGCTATGCTATTGTGGCATGAGGACAATCTCCTGTAGCAAAAAAAGGCATAACGCCCAACTCATTACAGCAAATCCTCAGCCATGATTTTTCAGCATCCAAATACTAGAGTATGAGGCGCTTTAAACTTTACACTTTCAAAGCAACACACACACACACACTGATAAAAGAGTAAAAACTCTGAGGTGGAACTTTATCGTAAAGACAATGCGGATGCCTTTTGAAGTCCTGGGTTACGTGCCTGACAATAGGAATCTCAAGTGTTCAGATCTCTCAAGTGTTCAAATGACCCAAGGCTTACCTGAACCGCATGATCCTACTTTCAACTGTTTCTACTTTTGGGGTTCTTGGCTTAGCCCCATGCCATTGACGCAAAACATGAAAACTGGATGCAGGTACGCGCAGTTGATCAGACTGCATATCCTCTCCAAAACATCAGTAGCTTCGTTGGCCACGGACTGATGAATGGAGCCGCGGCCCCCTGCATATGTAATTTGAAAATTCTTGCCCGCGTGACAGATAGCGGGTTTCACACACACACACACACACCAGCCCTTTTTCAAAAGGGCACTCAAGTTATCACATGGTAAATTGCACTAGAAACATTCCACCACTACCAAGTGAGAAACCGAGACAATTAACACTGTTTCGAAATGGTCAGGATTCTTGGGGTTTCACACACACACACACAAGAGGGTGGGAGGGGGAGAGGGAAGGGAACAAGGACAGCCAGCCACAACAAACAACGGGGAAACAAGAGGAGCAAACAACAAAGGCAGACAACAGGCAGGGGGAGCACACAACAAGCAGGCAGAACAAAGAAAGGAAGGGGGGGAAGGCGGGGGGAAGAAAGCACACAGGAACCCAACCCTGGCACGCAAAAGAGCAGGCACCACCAAGCACAACAGGCAACAAAGCAAAACCACAGCAGTGGAGAAAAGTGAAGCAGGACAGCACGGGAAAGGAACAAACACACTCCTGAGGGTGCGGCGAGGGGGGGAGAGGGGTCGGGTGGGAGGGAAGAGAGGGAAGAAAGAAGAAGAAAGAAGGGACGGGAAGGAGAAGGGAGGGGAGGTGTCCCAAGCTATGCATGCTGCATCCATGGGCCCACCGGGGGGGAGAGAGGAAAGGCGCACCCAGCTATATGCAAGTATCCCTGAAGAGAATTCCCCAAAAGGGGCTCAATTTCTTTATAACTTCTGGCCATACGGCCTGCTGCTGTCTTGTGACGTATTCCTGTCTTGTGACATCTTTCATTCTTCGTAATTCGTATATTCCGGCATGAAGCCACATTCCACGGGCACTAAGCCCCGTCAGATTCCAGGGTATTGCAGTACCCCACTCTGCAGCGGAAGGCCGGCTCCGAGTCAATGCCCGCCACAAAGCGTACAGACGGCGCTCACATGTCAGTGAGACTGTGCCCGTAACACGCTGATAAAAGAGTAAAAACTCTGAGGTGGAACTTTATCGTAATGACAATGCGGATGCCTTTTGAAGTCCTGGGTTACGTGCCTGACAATAGGAATCTCAAGTGTTCAGATCTCTCAAGTGTTCAAATGACCCAAGGCTTACCTGAATCGCATGATCCTACTTTCAACTGTTTCTACTTTTGGGGTTCTTGGCTTAGCCCCATGCCATTGACGCAAAACATGAAAACTGGATGCAGGTACGCGCAGTTGATCAGACTGCATATCCTCTCCAAAACATCAGTAGCTTCGTTGGCCACGGACTGATGAATGGAGCCGCGGCCCCCTGCATATGTAATTTGAAAATTCTTGCCCGCGTGACAGATAGCGGGTTTCACACACACACACAAACACACACACAGGCACAGCATCACATCAGTGGCAAAAACAGGTCCCTGGCAGCTGTCAAAAGTATTCTAAGATCATGCAAAGCAACAGAAGCATTTATGATCGTATGCATATCTCAAGGAGTGATTCAAGTGAATCACATGCACACTTCATACACTAGTGATTGGTAGGAGACATGAAATACGAAGTCGGTTCCAGTCCAGAATCACAAAAATGTTGAACGACTTCTAATTATTGATGATCATACATTGTCCTCATGTCTCACTTCAAAGCTTTTCTCACAAGAAGCCAGCTTAGCAAGTTGTCTTTCGATTTCACTGCGTTTTGACGGGTTTCCAAGAGGCGGCTGCCGTGGCCGTGCATTCCCGAGCCACAACGAGGCTCCCACAGCCCACAGGGCCAAGATGGGCCAAGACTGTCAGCTCAAACTTGGGGCGAAGGCTTTGATTCGCCGAGGTGCACGATGACGGCCATTCTTGGACGCCGCTGACCGAAGATTTCCTCATCACCTTCGCCAAACACAACTTCTGCGCTTTCCATCTGGATTCGGTTAAATTCGGCATTTGAATCCATTCGGCTATTCCAATTCTTCAGCACTGAAGAACATAATTTTCCAAGAACTGTGTGTCCAAAAACTTCCAGCAGCGATAATTCGGAGAGTTGATTTCTCGTGAGATCGGCATGCTGCAATTCAATTTGCAAAGCAAAGTCCAAGATATCACCCAGAAAATCTTTTGTTTCCTCTTCAGTGCTTCCTGCCACGGCCATGAGTAAGTAAGTGTTCCAATTGATAATGTCAGAAACCACGATCTTCTTCAAGTCTGGCAACGATTCCAAGAAACTTCTGAATTGAAATTTGGCAGAGTCATCTGCGTGAAAAAAGAGATCTGGCGATGCCAACAAATGCTCAGACATGGCCTCAGCGCCATGACCATGGCCAGCTGGCAGGACATCGTTCAGGAAGACCTTGTCGATGGTCCAGGTGCGCTCGGCGATGCTGAGCCATGTCACAAAATGAGAATAGTCCGGCGTGCTGGCCAGGGCATCGCGAAGCCTGTGGGAGAACTGGGCTAAGTGCCCCGTGGCATGCTTTTGCGAGATGAAAAAAGTGTGCATTTCTAGAACTAATGACCGCGTGCTTTCAGCTTCCTTCTTGCCACTAAGCATTTCCTTCAAGCTTCGCTGCACTAAGCCCATGCCCACGTACTTCTCGAAGCCCGGAACCATAAAACCCACTGATGCCTTGTGTATTGCATATTCCAGCTGTCTCGTCCATTGTAATGGGATGGGCAGCCCATCTCCCGATGCCTCTTGTAGAAGGCTCATGAAATGACCCATCGAGTTGTTGCTGGTCGTTCGGGATGCTCGACTGACTCCACTATCTTCGTTTCTTGGGTATTGAAACGGCTCGCTGTCCTCTTGCGGGGGTGATCGTTGCCAATAGTCTTTCAAGGGGCTCAGAGATCTTCTTGATCTCGATGTCTTTTCAACAGATAAGGACTGAATGTGGTCGAACAAGGCAAGCTCGAACTCCTCAACAACTTTTTGCGCATTGATTGAAGATGTTCTAGATTGACTTTCCGGCGAAAGTGCAGTCATCCAGTACGTGTCGCAAATAGTTTGTTTTCTGCCATCCAGTGTCTGCAGCTTGGCGCAATGGAATCCAAAATTGAGTTCTGCCATGGTTTTGGCAATGATGCCTCGCTCACCCCTGCACTGAGGACATTGCACGAACAGTCTGAGCAAATGGGTTCCTTTGAAACCACCTGTTCGGGTTATTGCCGCACTTGCTGGAAATTCTTCGTGAACGGACTCTGCTGTCACTTCTGTGATCTCAACTCGATTTGGGAGATGCTTTGTCAGATAGTCCTTGAGTGGGCTCTTCCACCTCCTCTTCAAGACTAGCTCGAAAGTCTGGTCCACATGGAACCCAACCTTCAATAGCGTTGCTGATCTTAAAATCAAAAGCCTCTTATGCAAAGCTGCTTCCAACCGCTGCAATTCGTCAGGGCAATCCAAACCCACAACACGCAGCATCAGAGAGTTGGGGTCATCGAGCCGAACCACTCTCAAAGTCAAAGGCAAACCTTCCAATTTAAAAATACTCTGGGCCGAGACCTTCGAGATGTGGTCCATTGACCTCATTGATGACCTACCGCAACCCATTGCAGCTGACCCGGCACGCAAACGACAAGGAAACCTTCAAAACACCTATGCTGCACTCAAGCATGGGCTGGACAAAGAGCTTCGGGACGTGACTGCTAGAAGCACTTGGAATCTGCGACGCCAAGCAGAACTAGAACAACACAAGCAAAACATGGTAACGCAAAATGTGTATTAATGTTCAAAATTATAGGACCGGATAACCCGACACGGTACCGTCTTCCTAAGAATGCATCCCGTAGAAAGCAGTAGTGGGGCACAAGTAAGGAGGAGAAGCAGGGAAGAACAACCAGGAAATCTGTTTGTGCGTGAGTGTGCCTGTGTATATGCGTATAGATATGTGTGTGCGTGTGCACTGTGCGCACTGTGTGTGTGTGTGTCTGGGCCGTTGTGTGCCTGTTTGTGTGTGTATGTGTGCGTGTACCATCTGAAGAGATGTAAAACTTCTACCTTTTTATATATCATCTTGCAGGGGGCCACCCGGGTCCCGGGGGGTCGGTGGCCAACGAAGACACCCCCCGGGTACCCGTGCAAACGTACCTGCTTATATATATATATATATCTCGTCCCGCCCCTGGGCGCATTTAAGTCGCAGCTGGGGGGGACATATACTTTATCGCTGTTGTTTTATATTGTCAATGCCTCCTGTGATTTTAAATATACATACATATTTTTTATTCATTTTTTCATGTTAATAATGATGTTTTGCACGTCGGATGTTTTTTCACTACACAATTCGCAATGACCTTTCCGAGCAAGTGTGTTACTCATGTCGGAATCCGACAAGGTGGCATGAGCCCAACAAGGGAATACCTGTCAAGGTAGTAGCCTGGACACGTTGAATTTGACTTCGGAATTTACAATTTTGAATTGGTAATTCGTTTAAGATTTTAAGTAAAGTGAAACAGTCAGCCTTCTTTCCGTGTTTCACACCCGTTCCGGGCCTCACCATTTTCGCTTTGCAACTTGTTCGGACTGACTGAGAGAGCTGCGCAGCCGTGGAAACCTCCTTTTTCATCGGTCGTAAGAGAGAGTGTTGAAACTGCTGGCCGCCGTTCCGGGCCTCACCATTTTCGCTTTGCAACTTGTTCGGACTGACTGAGAGAGCTGCACAGCCGTGGAAACCTCCTTTTTCAATTCTGCTTGAGAGACTGATTAGCTGCGACATAGCAACATGACAGGCTGGAGGACATGCTTTAGGTGTGGTACCTTTTTCCTTCTGGTCTCTGGTGCGGTTCAAATGTGCACCAATTCGGAATCAATTCGTTTGAAACTGAAAGCTGTCTCCGGGGTTCTGAACCCAACTACTACGTTGAAAGCCGAGGGCCTGGAGCCTTATCACGAAAACCTGTTTGCACGGTAGGAGAATGCAGCATTTATTAACTAGTCCCCCATGGGTCCTTTATTTCATGCGTGCTTCCCGGTGTTAGGTCAGGTAGGTTGGGGTCCTGCGCGTTCCGAGGTAGGTTTGGCTCTCGCCTTGTAGGTTGTGTCAGGTGCTTCCGTCCGCCGCCCCCTCCTCTGGTTTGGTTTTGGCCCGTCTCCCGTCTGTTTTTTCTTTTCTCTTGCCTTTTCAGGGTTCGCCCGTTCCGGGCTAGGTGTGTTGGTGTTGGTGTTTGCTCCTTTCTTCTCTTCTTTTGCGTCCCCCGCCTCGTGTTCCGGTTAAGTGGTTGGTCATTTCACTGCCATTCTCATTTCATCGTCCTTCTCATCTCATCCCTGCCCCGCTGCGGCGGGGCGTGTGTGTGTGTGTGTTTGTGTGTGTAACATCTGAAGAGATGTAAAACTTCTACCTTGCTTTCTCTGTTGTGATTTGCTGTGGCTTCCTTTTGCCTTATTGGGGGTTCCCGTGTATTTCGAGTACACTGATTCTCAACAGGGGGTATTTCGAGCACACTGATTTTCAGCAGGGGGTGCCGGAGGCACTGATGAGACCGGCACTAACAAAGACACTCATCAGTTGCCTGTGATATCGATGGGGACGCTCATCGACGTACCTGCTATGTTTTTCAACTTCGTTTTTCCACTGGAACCATCAGTTTTCAGTTTTTTCCGGCAATAGCAACCGGCTAAGCTCTAAGAACCGGCAAGTCGAAACTTACTTTGATGAGGTCACGTGAGTTTATACGATCTGATTTGAGCTGTACGGTTTTCGCAATCTGATTCCGATTATGCCATGTTCCACTTCTCGTGGCCTCGTCCATTCATGTCAGGTTTAACTGGATTGTTTTTGCACGTACAATGCACTCTCACTACACAATTCGCAATGACCTTTCCGAGCAAATGTGTTACTCATGTCGGAATCCGACAAGGTGGCATGAGCCCAACAAGGGAATACCTGTCAAGGTAGTAGCCTGGACACGTTGAATTTGACTTCGGAATTTACAATTTTGAATTGGTAATTCGTTTAAGTAAGTTGAAACAGTCGTTCACCTTTCAGCTTCTCACCCAGTGGTGCCGACTGTCGATGTGTTGAACAACTGGCCGCTGTGCCTGGCTTCATTTCTTTATCACCAGTGCCTTTGGAGAGACTGAGGGAGCCGGAAAGCCGTTGAAACCTCCTTTTTCAATATGGTTCAAGAGAGTGCTCAGCTGGATCACTCTGCAACATATGGAGGCGAAAGGACATGCTTTAGGTGTGGTTTTCTTTTGCTTTTGATGGTTTCTGGTGAGGTTCAAATGTGCACTTAATTCGCTTGACAGCGTCAGCCGCATACGGGGTATTGCACCCAACTAAGAGATGACAGCCGAGGGCCCTGAGCCTGATCACGAATACCCTTTTGCATGGTAGGAGAGTGCATTTTGGTTTTGTTTGTGTGTTGGGTTTGGTTGTTCTTTTTCTAAGGTTTTGAAACCTGACTTTCAGCCATGTTTCCATTTGCTTGGGCCTCACGTGGAGTGCCCGCCTCCGCTTCAACCCCTATGGCAGCAACTCCTGTGATGAACGCCAACTTCGGCATGCTTCAGCCGCTGGGGGAATTTGCTAATCCTGCTGTGGTAACTCCGATGATCGCACCGAACCCTTCTCACCAAGGTATGAATTTTCCGACTGGAGGTAATGACGTATACCTTAGGGATCAGGTTCATCAGATTCAAAACCAGATGCAGAATCAGCAGGTGATGTTGCAAGCTCAGATTCAGATGCTTCAACAGCAGAACGCACTGCTCAACCAACAACTCTCCACTTCTCACTCCACACCTTCGGGCGTGTTTCATCCATCGCCACAATCCCATGCAGATTTCCCACCAACACCTGCAGCTCCACCTCCACACCCAACACCTTCCAATCCTCAAGCTGCCGCACCACCTGCCCTTGACTCTCCAGCCCTCCAAGCACAAATCAGTGCTGGCATCTCTGCTGCTTGCCGTGAAGGTATCAACATCGCACGCCAGGCCTTCCGGCCCCGTCGCTCCACTCCCAAAGCCAATCCACTCCACCTGTTCAAGCTCCTACAACACCTCCACCGGCACCTCCACCTGCCACCTCTCACTCTGCACGGGTCCCTTCCCCGCTCTCGATCCAAGGCACATTCGTCTACGTTCAATTCCAAGGAGCCCTCGTCGTCGTCATCGCTCCAGCTCACGTCATGGCCGTGAACGCACTTTCGGGCTCCGTCTCATAGGCGTCGGGACTCCAGCATCACCTTGAAGTCCCGCTCCAAGTCTCGGGATCGTCGTCGTGGGCATTCTCGGCAAAAATCACCGGCATATCCCTATGACACTCACCGTCTTCGGGTGGACTTGAAAGAGGCTGATCAATACTGGCCTCAGTATCAACAACAGTCGCAGTATTGGCCTTCTCATTCTCATTGGTCCTACGATCGGCATCGCACCACTTCTCCGCCTCGAGATCGCCCTCTTAAGGCTTTCTCCAATACTGGGTGGTGGTCACGCGCGCATACCGTGACCCTACTCGAACCAGGGCTGCTTCGGAACTGTCTTTTAACGAACGACCAGTGCTATCCCAGTCCATCCCTTAGAAACTTCACGACTGGGCGTTGGAGGAACTTCACGTCGTCTCCCAAAACACGGGAGTTGAGACTCCAAAAAGCAGCGCGCTACTCATCATCTCAGTGCTCCAGGGAGCTGGCATTCTTCGTCACACAAATCTCCGTGAGTCCGAGATCATCACTCTCACTGAGACAAACAGACTTGCACTGGTGGTCCCGGTACCGCCGCAGGACAAATGTCCCCAATTTGCCCCCAAAGACACTCTATGAGGGCATCGTTCGTCCAGCGGATTGGAGCAAGAAAAACAATGACATGCCCACATACGGCAGCTACAACTTGGGAGCCCTTCACCCGTTGTCACTGACACCCGGTTCATGGCAGATTGGTGACTTGCTTGACCGCGCACAAAAGCGTGGAAAAGGTCAGCAAGAAATGCTAATCATCCAGCGCTATACTGGATCCATGCTACATGCCAAATACGAGGCAGGAGGAAACGACCTTCCCAGTTGAAAGCTCAAAAGTGTGGCATAGTCGTGACAAAAGAGAAATACACAGTGGCTCGCAGTGAACACTGCACAATCCTTGCTTTGGCCACGGTCTGGGATGCTCCGATTGAGTATGAGTCGGATCCTTACACTAAGGAAACCACTGAGGACCTCGCTCAATCCTTACATGGCCCTTCCATGTTGATCAGGAAAGTGATGATGAGGAACGTGCCCTGCGATACCGTGGGCGCTACGGTGACCCGTAGAGGCTGAGTTTCGTACTGTTGCAGTTTTTGGCACAACAGTTTCTGTACTATATTTTCTAGAGAGTGCTCTGGACATTCCATTCGAGAGAAAAATGGGTTTGAATCTTGATGTGCATTTGCACGGTTGCCACAATCTGCTGTGATGCGTGACTTATTCATGACTTGGGTTGGCTATCATGCATACCCCACAGTTCATGCAGTGATGAGTCCAGTTGACGCTGTGCATTTACTTCTTTGATTCTTGTCAACGGTTTCAAACTTGGTCTCTTTGTCCTCTCTCTTGGTTCTTCTCCTTTTTCTTCGTTCTTCTTCTCCCTCTCTCTCCCTCCTCTTTTCTTCCCCTTTCACTTTGTGATTGATTCATCTGTTGTTTCAC